CAGGAATTTATACGCAAATAAAAAATTAAACGCTTTGTAGAAGGTGAAGTGGTATTGTATATGTGAAGTATAGTACTAGTTATGATAATTAATAAGGTTGATTGGTAATTTGGTATTAAAGTAGTATGTAATTAATGTTTGAAGGCATGGTTGAAAACAGTGAAACCTTTTAACCAGAACAGTGGTTGGACCCTCCGTAGGGGACCGCTTTAGATTGCGGCCACGAAAAGTGGACAAAGGATAAGTATATAAAGATTGAAAAAGATTCAATGCCAAACATGACAATAGTTAAGCCTTATCTCTCCCATCTCTTTTTTCTGCATAATCATCGATTACAAAACCAGCATAACTTTCATGAGTTTCACTCACCCACGATGTACTGCTGTTAACTTAATTTATATATGTTACACATCAAAGTTAAAAACTTTAATAAAGTAAAGCATTAGCTGCATAACATATTTTCTTTTTTATTTTGGTAGAAACTACCAAACAATCATACTCAGATAGGTAAAATTATTATAAATAATCAAACTTTTCTTTTAAATATTTAATGCACTTACATAAAACTTAAATTTCATTATTACTACTTAAGTTCAAACACACTTGGACAAATATAATGAGAATTTTTAATTCGTTAAAGATCACATAAAAAAAAATAGAATTATTTCACATTTGATTTAGAAAAAAGATTATGAGAACAAAATTCTGATTTTTTAATTCGTTGAACAAATATTTGCCTTCACCTAGTAAATGGAATTAATAATTGGTGTGTGGAGCCTGGCAAGCAAATTAAAGGCAGGCAGAAGCAAAGCAAACTAGGATGTTCACCACAATTATTCCCATTTTAATGACATCATCCCTGACGTCATCCCCCGACAAGCACCGGATGATCCAACCATCCGAATCTATTCCACGTGGAATCATATCCACCGCCCGATCCCCCTCCAACACACCACACTCTCCACATATATCACCAAAACCTTATTCCAAACACACACCTCGTTCTCCACACATCTCAAGCCTAAACACCTTTCTGAACTCAAATCAGAAAAACCAATCAAGAAAACACGAACATAACATATAACAACATACATAACACATACACACCCGACTCCTGACATCAACTGACTCTGAACCTCGGCGAGTTAATGACGGAGGCAGAGAGAGAAAAGTACAGCATGATCAACTTTGAAGAGACCGAGTTGCGACTCGGGCGGCCAC